TTTTAATTGTATACTTGTATACTATATTCCTAACCTTTAGCTTTTAACAGTGACAAAACTTGGTGCAGTATACCTTGTTCTACTGAAAATTTACAAGCCCATGATCTCAATGTCGATAAAGCTGAGAAAAATATTAAATAATAATTGAAATTGTAAAGTATGTTTGTATATTTATTTAAGTTAATTTAAATTTTTCCCTTAAATATCTATACCCTTTAGGGGATATGCTTCTTAAGCTAATTGCAGATGAAATATCTTCATCAGACCATTTATATGCTTTTTTTTTATTTAAAATCAAATTTATTTGAGTTGATGTAAAGATCCCAGAAAGTTTTTGTTGAAATTTTATGTTAAAAAGCTTTTCTTCCATATTTTTATCTTTTTTAAAGTTAATTATTTGCTGTTGTTGGTAACTGTTAATATTTTTAAATGTATTACATGTATCCTCTAATTCCTTAATTTTACTCTGTGCTTCTTTCAATAACTTTTGTAATGTATGCAATTCAGTTACAATTTGTTTTTAATATAATATGTTTTATAATTAATGTTATTAATTAAATACCTGTCAATCTTATTTTGATAATCAGCATCTGTTTGTGACGTTTGTGCACTACAAGATGAATTATGTACTGTTACACATTCATCTAGAGATAGGTACAATAATTTCTTCAGTTTCCATGTCAGTAACGTAACTGCTTTTATAACAAATTATATTGTATAAAATGTATTGTTTTTTGAAGTAATTAATATACGTTTTGTAATATTTGCAGTTGGGTGACAACTTTTTGTTTATATTATATATGTTTTATTAATAATGTCATTAGTTAAATACCTGTCAATCTCATTTTGATATTGATCATTTGTTTGTATACTTTAATATAAATTATATTTTATAAAATATATTATTGTTTTAAGTAATTAATATACGTTTTGTAATATTTGTAGTTCGGTTACAATTTTTTATTTATATTATATATGTTTTATTAATAATGTCATTAGTTAAATACCTGTCAATCTCATTTTGATAATAATCATCTGTTTGTGACGTTTGTGCACTACAAGATGAATTATGTACTGTTACACATTCTTCTGAAGATACAACAATTTGTCCAGTTTCCATGTCAGTAACATAACTGCTTTAATAACAGATTATAATATGTAAAATATAATGGTTTTTTGAAATAATGTATATATTTACATAATTAAACTGCTTTTATACTGACCTAATAGATTGATTTAAAATATTAGAATTATCCTCTAGATTCATTAATAAATTAGAAAGGTGACAATTAAGTGTTGGAATAGCATCCAGTTTCAATTTTCTCTTATGCCTTGGGGAAAAGTTCAGTAGAGTTTCTATTAATGGTTTACAATATGCATCATCATCGAAATGTAAAGAACATATATAAGCTGTAAGAAAAACTAACTTTAAAGAAACCATATAAACTATTAAAGAAAATACAAATGCTCGAGTATTTATTTAAGTATACATCAAAAGTTTGCTTTAAAACATACCATTTTTTAATTTTAAATTAGGATTACCAGTTGCATCAAGCCATTTTTTTTGATATTGTGTATCATGTGGGAAGCGATGAAAACGAATGTGGCTACGGTCAACATTTCTTAATTCCTTACGCTTACTTTCACTAGAACAACCCTTCACTGAACACCAAGACATAATATATGTTCGTACGTAGTACAAGACATATACTTTTATAATATAGATATAACATGTATTATGAAATATAACTTTTATCCCATAAAAGTATTACACAGTACACTACCACTGTTAAAAAAATGTTGCTATCACTTATTTCTACTGTAATATACACTATTAATATTAATAATATTTCTTAAGCCTATTTATTTTTAGATATGTTAATTTCATTATAGGTAATATTAACATAATCATGTTTACCAAAATACAAAATCTAAAATAATTTAAGATTGTTATGCTACACATGTAAAGTATATAGAGTTCTTCATTCTGAGTGATATGCATATTGGAATTTATTAAGGAAATTATATTATAATATTTAAGTAAAAGACTTAGTCAATAAAATAAATAGACACATTTTAGGCAAATAGTAATTTATATATTACAAAACAATAATAATGTGTATATTAGTTATTATCTTTATAAAATAACTAATACATTAAATTACTTACTAATGTTTTGACAATTACAGAGTACAATAATTATTATATAAAACAAATAAGCAAATAACTTTTAACTTTCAAACATACCTATAGTATATTCATACTTAAATATTATACAATTAGAGACATTTTATATAATGATAAGTGAACGTGTAAATATTAATTTGTAATACAGTTTTATTTCCAAATATTAACTAAACAAAAATAAAAATGCTGTATAGACTATAGACTATACTACTATAGTAGGTGTTGAATAGGTCACTGTAAGGGATGTGTTAAATTTGAATAATGCCGCGCAAAGTGATTGAAACATCTTCACTGGCAGCTGACGTCATATTTCAATGGAAAGAATAATGTTTTGTTATTAATCTATGACTGCGCTGTTCACTGCCATAATCGGTTAGTTGCTGTCATACCTAGTTATTTCTATCATGGCAGAAACCTACGGGTGCCCCAATAGAAATTCTGCCAAACACAACACACACGTGTAATAACCCTACAATTTCAAACCCTACTACCTACAATCATAAACCCTACAATCAAGCTAATGGCCATAGTCGCCGGGCTTTAAAAAAAGATCAATTAAAAAAAAATTATATACATATCTGTGGCCCCTTCTCATATGTCTATGCTATTATCATGAAGACTAGAGTCTAGTCTCCATGTCTATTATTTATGGTTTTAAGACCGTGATAAAATCTATAAACATAACCTCAATTGTATGTCCAATATTTAAATTGGTAACCGTCCCTGACTCTAACCGCAATTATATTTAATAATTTGTTATCAACATTTAACAAATAACGATTATTGATAAAGCAAATTATGTTATTTTCTCAAATTTGTATCATTTTTTTAAAATACTTGAATATTCATTAAACTCATGACAAATTATACAGGTATGTCAGCAATATTACGGATTTAGAAACAAATCCTCCGCCCAGCCCTTAACTGTGGCATTTGTCACATTTGTCAAGCATTTGTCCGGTTCTCATTGGTCCACCGCCGTCAATGCCGCAATAGCCGCCGCCGCCGAAGACTCCACCACCGCTCAACCTGTTGGAGAAATGCTTACGTCACAGACATGCGTATCACGAGTTGCTGACATACCTATTTATTTTGTCATGATTAAACTGACCATTTTATTATTTTATCTACGTACAATTCCCAATAATACTGTATACATTTCAGCTCTTCCGTTAACTTGTTCACCTGGTAAGTTAATATGATTTTTAATATTTTTTATACAGAGATCCATTTATAATAATTATTTAATGTAATATTTTGAAATTTTGTCTAGATTTTCATGATGGTATTGACTATACTTTTTCTCCTGGTACATCATCATAATTTCCTAGTGTAAAATCTAGATATTCAGATTTGTAAGTCCTTGTAAGATTTAATCAAACAATTTTATTTAACTTTATATATAGGGCGATTCTTTTATCATTGAATTGATACTTATAATTATATTTATATTATATTTTAATTAATAACTTATAATTGATACTTACTTATAACTCATAAACTACTCGTCCTAAATTCGATTTGTATGTATCAAAATACTTAGAAAAAAAATCTGCTTTGGAATATGAAATTAAAACTATGTTATCATTCAAAAAAGTAAAAACTTAAAAAAATATTTAAAAATATGATTTTTTAATAAAAACTTTGTTTTTTTAACAACTTGAAACTATACAAAAAAATATTTTCAAAACCATTAATATTTTTTGAAATAATGAGTGTTCAATGATAAGAGAATCGTCCTGTATATATTTTCTGTATGATTACTAAAATTATATAAATATGATTTAGGTACTTCAGTTTGGTTTGAACATAGGCGGACATTTGGTTGAATTTTTAGGGGGGCTATAATGGCCTGTTTCAAACCGTTTGAAGAAATACCGAGAAAAATTTTATACTCCTACAGTTGAAGAATGAGAATGGAAACTCAATTTCATCTCGCTGTTTGAAAAACATTTGTTTTCACCCAGTAGTACAATCTCAAACAATGTGCAACACGAGAAACCCTCATAGACAGGGTCACAAATTGTATGAAACAATTAGTGTTAACAATCTACTTCTCATTCCCATTTGTCCATATGTAAGAACTTTAACAAGAGTTGCTTTAAATATGAAATAACTCCTGGTTTAAATGATATTTTTATTTGAATTTTTCAAGACAAAAATGTCTAACTTTGAAACTGAGGCTCTTGAGATGTTATTATAAAAAAATGTTAAACATTTCTGTAAATTTTAAAGCATTTGTCAATGACCAACACTCTAATTTTGTTAATTTTAGTAAAAATGTTTAGGACATATGTCTATGATACTTAGGGCCAGTTGTACCGACTTCGGTTAAACAGTGATTAAGATTTAATCTATGATTAGTGATGTTGGGTCGTTGTACAGTGCCGGTTAACCTTCTAATCGTCGATTAAAGGTCTGTTAAGTTAACCAGCCATTCGACCGCGGTTAAACATTGATTAGTTAATTTTCGATGAGAGGGGGAATATAATTCGTTATCATTTATCGTAGTTATCACTCATCAGCTAAAACAAAATGTTCCGATTCTGATCGTATTTGGATTTCAAGTTTCAACCGTTTTACGTTTGTCAAATAGTGTTTGATTTCGATTTAAATGCGCATTAAACTGAATACTAGTTTTTATGATGATGTATAACAACAGTTCGTCTGAAGATGCTTCAGATTTTGAAGATGAAGATTTTGATCAATTGACTGTAATGATCGCATTTCCTAGAAATCCGAGAATCTTCAGACATCGAAAACATCATTTTACCTATTGGAGAGATGATGAATTCTTCAACAGATTTCGATTATCGAAAAATACAAGTTCGCTTTATTGTCGATCTAATTCTAATAGGTGATCGCATATGTTCCCGTACCGATTGGTAAGTTTTCCTAATTGTTTTTTTGAAATACATTATCATTTATAAAAAATATTATTATTAATAGTTTAAACATTTATAATAGGAATAATGCTGTGAGTCCAGAAGATAAGGTGCTCCTAACACTGAGGTATTATGCAACAGGATCAATGTTAATTGTATGTGGAGATTTCATTGGCATTCATAAATCGACTGCAAGTCGTATTGTGAAACTTGTTTCACATAACATTGCTATATTACGTTCTCAGTTTGTCAATTTTCCCAACAATGAAAATGATTTTAAAAAAGTCAAACAAGATTTCTATAACATAGCTAAATTTCCAACGGTTATTGGTGCATTGCTATATTACGTTCTCAGTTTGTCAATTTTCCCAACAATGAAAATGATTTTAAAAAAGTCAAACAAGATTTCTACAACATAGCTAAATTTCCAACGGTTATTGGTGCATTAGACTGTACCCATGTCAAGATTAAATCACCTGGAGGAGATAATGCAGAAGTATATAGAAATAGAAAGAATTTTTTCTCAATCAATGTACAGACAATTTGTGATGCAAACTTAAAAATTCAAGACATAGTAGCTCGATGGCCTGGTTCATCACACGATTCTACTATTTTCAATAATTCAGAAATACGAAGGAAACTAGAAATTTGGCGAAATGAGGGTCTGCGTTTTAGTTGCTGATAGTGCACAACGTAACTATGTTATGACTTTGGTTGGAAGCCCTAACACAGTTATTGATCCAGCCTCTGGTATTTATGAAGAAGCTGTAGCTAAATATAACGAGTAATTAATTAGGACTAGAAATACTGTTGAGAGAAGTTACGGTGTTTGGAAACGTCGGTTTCCAATATTAGCTACAGGAATAAATGTAAAAATTACTTCATCACAAAGTACTATTGTTGCTACAGCAGTATTACATAATATAGCCTGCAATTTTGGAGAAAGCGTGCCTAGAGTTACAACCAAAATAGAATCGTTAATTTTAATAACAGAATTTAATAACCCAGGCGAAGGTATAGGCAGGAATGCAGCCAACATTACAAGAAATAAGTTCCTTCGCTATTTTAACAACTTAATTTGAGCGGATGCCTTTACAGTTACATTTATTTATCTTTGAATTTTTAACTGTGTTCCTTTAACATATAATTGTATACATTTGTAAATAAAATAACAATACAATTCGAGACAAAAAAAAAATGTATTTATTAAAAATTTAAATGGTTGTGACTTACAAACCAATAACAAGAATTAATATTTATTATGAAATGTTAATGAATTAAACAAAAAAAAAAAAAAATAATAACAAATAATCACTAAAATAGGTGACTTAGATATTTTAATAACATTTTAATGAATTAAACAAAATAATTAATAACGAATAGTAACTTTAATAAGTGACTCAGATATTTATATTGGAATATTTTATTTTTTCGGCTGCTTTTTGCATTTTAAAATGTCATTTGTCAGTTTCAAATTTTCAATTTCAATTTTATGTTTTTCAGTCATCATTTGTAGTTCCAAATTGTGTTTTTCTTGCTTGAGATGCATTTTAAGTTTATGATGTTCAGTAAAAGCAGACTTTTGTTCTTCACTCAGTGAGGCTCTAGTTGATGAACAACTGGTTATTTTGTCCTGATATGTCTTTTTTTTTTGTCTCATTACCATCTGAATAAAACATTAATAAACTAATATTTTAATAGACTCAGAGATATTTTTGGTAAAAGGGTTAGATGGGAGTATGAGTTATTTAAATATATTATATTTCATAATCATTAATAAGCATTTTAAAAGTGAATTGAAAGATATATTTTTCACAAAAAAATCCAAACCCTAATAATTAGGGCAGAGGACTTGTAGCTCTAAAATAATACCAATTATGCACATAATTAATAAAACTACCTTTGTGAAAGCAAGAAACGTATTTGTTTTGTGCTCTGCTATTTTTGTGACTGTGCAAAAAAAAAAAAAAATATGCAAGGGCTTCAAGACTACTAATAATAAATCTAGTGGACACCCCTGGGTCATTTTTAAACCAATTAGAATAATATTTAACTCATATATAAAATTTGTACCTGAAGCTGCATTATTGTTTGTTAAATTTGACCTAGATTTCAAATCAGCTGGAGAGTAAGTTGTCCAGTCCCGTTTGGTGGCTGTAGACTGTGACTGTCCATTATATTGTTCTGTAGCAGAATATTAAAATAGTGATTACGTCATACGTGAACAATACTAATTCAATAATAATAAGAAACATAAAAGCTATAATTATAATTTTAATTAAACTCACCACAAGTTGTTGATTCATTAACAGGATCAATGTCACTAAACATCAATGTTACGATTTCATTATTATCACCATTTGAAACATGTACAGGTTCAATAAACTGATGTTCCAACATATCAGTTTCCAATTGCAGGTTACTAGTATCTGAATCATAGATAGAGGTTTCACCTGTCATTCTGGTTTGTAGGATTTCACCAACTGTCGATGCGATTGATGTTCCTTGAAACACTTTAGTTGGACCACCACCAGTACCACGACTAAAAGTTTTTTCTTCAGCGTATTGCTTTTTAACATTTCTTTTTACATTTTCATATTTATTTTTTAAGATAATGGCTGGGCGAGGGGTTTCTGGCAATTGACAATTAAATTCATTTTGAATTTTTATCCAGGCATCTTTTTTCATTCTAAAAACAAGTGAAATAAATTAGTTATTTACTATTTTATATCTTTACCTAGTGATTTATGTTTAATTTCTTACTTTGAATTTACATTATCTGTTTTCATGCATTCAATTACTCCTTTGTACTTTTAGACTAATGCTATTAGTACATCTATTTCAAAGGCAGTGAAATTTGACGTACGCTTATTAATCTTATTAATGTCAGTGTTCATACTGACGAAGTTATATCACAGAATATAATAGTATAATATAGTATAGAGGTATAGTTATATACATACAAGCGAATATTTAAATATTTAAATTGTAACTTTCAATTTAAACATAAACATTTAATTAAAAACAATATTATAATAACTGATATTATTGGTGATAATACAATGTCCACATGAATGAGTACCAAGAGTAATGAAAAATAATGAAAATATTGTAAAAAACAATAATATCGTGTTTTGATCAGTGATTAACTAATCATACCCAAATCACCAACCGTACAACACAAGGACATTTAATCGAGGATTAACATTTGATCGCCGATTAGCTAATCAATGTTTAACCACAGAACGGTACAACAGGCCCTTACAATTTTTTGAAAAAAATAAAAGTTATTTCTTAGGTATTAGTTGGTTCCGATGTGACTATCAGGATGAATTTCATAAACCTTCATTATCCACCTACTATGTAGATTTTATTTTACATTACTCTTTAAATATTTCTAGGTGCAATATTGTCAATAATGAATCAAGGGAGACGAAAAACATTGAAAAAACAAAGTGTTACTGAACCTCAAGTTATTACTACCTACAACAATCACTTTTAAAGACTTACTATTTAAAATACGGAAGTTGTGTAGTGTTGCAATATTACAATGATGTATTATTGGTAGGTTATGATAAACAACAGTATCTACACTTTAAACTATATTTTTCTAAAAGTTATTTTATATTTTAGTCTACATCCTGGGCCTGCACAACACATGAATATATATACAAAGTAAATATATATAACAACTGCTATTTGTAACCAACAACTTGAGGTAATTCTTATCAAACTTCTGATTGGTATTCATCAATACAAATCAGGCATTAAATAAACCTATTTTGTCTGAATCATATACAGTTTAAATTAGTAAGTATAGATACTATAATAGTTCAGCGGTGGCTGTCGTAGCAGTAGCATGCGTGTTAGCACCGTCCTAATATCAAGGCGCTTCCAGCTGACAATTGTTAACAGTTTTTTTATGATATTTGTACTGAAAAGTGCCAAAAAAGTGCGCGAAGGGACCGGTGTCGGTTTCGAGTCGGCCCTATAAAAATCTCCCCCATAAGGGCAGTTTTAAGTTAGGATTGTACGACTACGGATTAATGTAAAAGCAACGCTTATTACATTATTACTCTTTTGTATCGGTGAGTGGCCGGCCAAAGGTCAGTTGGCGAGCCGTCGTCGCCTCCGTTATCGCTGAACCCGTATCGCGGATCGGGCGGAGTACGGCCGAGGCGGAAGCCAAACAATAGCATACCTACACACTGTATGAAATACAGGGTGACGCATAGCTAATAAACCACTACGTCGCAGAAGTATGAATCGCGGCAACCACGGTGACGATGATGGCACCATGGAAGCTGAATCTGGTGACCCCAACTCCAGTCTGATGGGTAACAGATTGTGCACCGGAGGTGACACTACACCAGTTACGGGTGTTAAACGAAAGGTCGCCATAACAATACCTACCTCCACGGCGGAGGGCAGTGGGAAACAGGTAGAGGCGGGACTGGCGTGCATCAAATCCTTGCTGAAAACAGCAATGACCGAAGCGAGACAAGGGGGAGATAAATCGGGATCCAACCGTCTCATTAGGATACTGGAAGATATTTTCGACGTCGTGGCTCCGATGTTAACAAGAAAGGGGAAACTGAGGTCACCACTCTTCCCCCAGCTAAGAAACTGAGGGACGACTTGGCGACCGACCCAGTGGCCAAGGGCATTGACGGGCCGGTGATGGTTGACGCTGGGACGGACACCATACTGACCCCTAACTGGTAGGAGAGTGAACAGGAGCGACGGAAGAAGGAGTCAACAAGACGTCGCCCACGTAAGGCAGGTGCTCGTGGGCCGGCAGAGATGACTATTCACACCGACGATGGAGCTGAATCGGCGATGGAGACGGATGGCGAAGCGTGGAAGGAAGTCGTTGGTAGGAAAACAACCTCAGCACCTCCCAATGGTAGAACGGTGGGCCAACACATACCTCTGAGAACAGGGGCCAAGCACATGGCTAAGCCCCCGGCTGTCTTAGTCAAGTTGGCTGCTGGCTCGTCATACGCAGACACCGTTCGCGCAATTAGGCAGAACAAAGAGATAAACTTATCGGAGCTGGGAGGTCAGGTAACCGGCATGCGTAAAACCAGGGATGGTCATCTGCTAGTCGAGCTGGACAAAGGTGCTGGATCTGCAGTAGCAGCACAGAAGTTGTCGTCGGCCATTGCTACCAGGCTGGGTGACGCTGTCTGAGGAGTATCGTAGCTTAGCCAGTATGCTGAAGTAGAGATTGTGGACCTCGATGCAGTGGCAACCAAGGATGAGGTCCTGTCAGCATTGCGGGCGGCAATACCAGGATCTGATGACGACCAAGCAGCCATCTGCGAACGGCAGGCTATGCAGATCACTGGTCTCTGGCCCACTAGATCCGGCCAGCAGATTGCTACTGCCAGAATTACTAGAGCCACCGCCTCTAGTATAAGCCGAGTACCAATTGGATGGACAATGTGCCGCGTTCGCCCTAGGCGGCCTGAACCAGAAAAGTGCTTCCAATGCCATGGATTTGGACACCAAAGTGGTAATTGCTCCGGGCCCGACCTATCGTCCAATTGCAAACGCTGTGGAGAACCAGGGCACGAGCTAAAACAATACCTGGCAGACAAAGACTTATGCGGAGCGTGTGAGAGAGCTGGCTTCGAGCGTTACAAGCATAAACCAGGCTCAGGTATGTGCAAAGCCAGGAAGGAGGCAATCAAGAAGTCAAACGGGCGCAATCCACAAACCCAGTCTCGGCAGGTAGGCAGCGGAGATGGAGTAAGCACGCTGCAATGGTTCGCTGCCTACAGATCAATCTTCAACGGAGTTCCATACCACAGAGCTTGCTCCAACAGACTTCCGCTGCCACTGGCTCTCAAATTCTCATAGTATCTGAACAGAACTGGAACCCGACTCATGACGACCGATGGGTAGCCAGCACCGAGGGAACTTGTGCAGTTGCTCTCACGGCCACCTCTGACTTTGTACCTGACTCGATTGGGGCGGGTCGCGGCTTCGCCTGGATTCAGTCACGGGGCATTAGGATATACAGCTGCTACATCTCCCGAAACGATACGGATGCCAACTTCGCCAACTTCCTGGGAGACGTCGAGCAGTCTGTTCGTTCGGTAGATTTGCACTGCTCGGTTATCATCGGAGGCGATTTTAATGCCTGGTCGCAGGAGTGGGGCTCAGCGCGGAATGATGCTAGAGGCGACCAATTAGCTGACCTAGCTGCTAGTTTGGACCTGTTGGTCGGCAACGTTGGTACCAAACCTACGTACCGCAGAATAAACGCTGAGTCGGTGATCGACGTCACGTTCCACCGCTGTCAACCTTGCCTCGCCCTCACCCATTGGAGAGTGATGGACGAAGTCGAATCGGCGAGTGACCACAGATACATCCAGATCCGGTTAGAACGGTTTCAACGGACTCCTGATCAGGACGATCCCCCGGAACGCCTCAGGGGATGGGCCTACAGACAGCTCAATTTAGACGCACTAACTTCTCACCTGGCAATAGCACCTCTGCCCGCTTATGATGAAAACACGCCCACTGATCAAGCTGCTGATCAGTACATTTCATACTTGACATCTGCTTGCGACGCATGCATGCCGCTCAGGGCACCACCGCCTCACGGCAGAAGGCAAGCCCACTGATGGAACCAAGATATTGCCATAAAATCGACGAAT